AGAATAGTTTATCGTTACTTACTTGGCGCACGCTGCGATTAGGCAAGTGTTTTTAGATGTACTCTAAGACTAAATTTTATAATAAGTAATTACAGATTTATTACTATGCTATTTTTTCTTTAAGGAATATCTAGACGAAATGTGCAACTTGGCCAATCTGCATTTGTCCAGCTTATTCGATAACATTCAGCAAGCGGACCAATTTTCAAGTCATCTTCCTGTAGACGCAATAACTGGACGACAGAGCAGACTAGGCGTTGGCGGCCATTCGACCTGCCCTCGCGTCATATCTGATCACAACTTGAATTATCCCTCTCTATCTGCTCCAAAGTCTATGCCCTTTACCTCCACTCCTTTGCACAAAAGATGTTTTCCTCATATACCGAATACTTCGCCTGCCCACTCAGCCGCTAGTATACGACCAAGCGCCCCTTGCATTCCTGTTCCTCTTATGACTCCTAGAACCGGGCTGTCACGCCGTACTCGTCGAACCCCTCAGCCGTTGGCTGTAGCCAAATCTGCAGATGAACATATAGGATCTCCTACAGCACCTCGGTTACGTTCTTTCTCTCATCTGCCAAGTTATAATTCCGTCCGCCAACCCTTGATCTGCCAACTTGACCTTCATTCATCTCTTTCTAGCACACCATCAGCCAATTATAGAAAACGGCCCAGGCCAGATGATTGCCTCCAAGGGGTAACCTCTCACGACTTTGATTCGTCTGAAACTTCCAACCTGACATTAAATAAAGCTAAAACTCGTCATGCTTGCGATACAGTCTTAAGTATTCCAGACGCTCAGCTTGAGACTGGTGAAACAGTTGGAGATCAAGTTTCTGGCTGGGAAACGAGCTATGAAAATGACAATGAATATTCTCTACTCGGCTCTCCTTTAGAAAGTAGCATTGCTGATGTGGTTAAGACACGGAGTCGATATTCCTCTCGCAATTCCAGTGATTCTACCACACCACTAAATTCGCCAACAGGGATGTTGCATCGGCGGTCCACACGCGGACAATCAAGACCCAATTTATAGGTTAAGCCCCTACAGATTTAGACTGCACATCTGAGTTTAAATCATATTTAAAGTTAAATTTATTTACCTAATACATGATTATGACTTTGCACTAGTATCTTATCAGTTTGTCGCAAATTTGTACTTTTATTATACTCATTCACTTGCTCCAAGCACTGTCCTAAGTTGCATTTTCGATAAATATTCTATTTACTCCGAATATTGGCAACATAAATAGCGTATAGATATGGCGAACAATTATAATTCCTCAATACAAATTATTTCTTTTACAATTAAAAAAAACGATCATTGGCTCGTATTCCTCATGGTTACATTATATTAATTTATTTTAAATGGTTGAATTTGCGATAAATCCATAGTATCTTTGTAATTTACAAAATTCTGCGGAGTAATATTTTTTTTCATTTTTACTAAGGTAATTTCTGTAGCGGGATTCAGAAAGAAGCCACATCGAAG